CCATCGGCTATTTTCGCCCCCTGTTCTCGCTGTGTTCGACTCGGTCCGCCGTTGAACTGTTGCGAGCGGGTGGGGGTGGGAGGGGAGGAAGTTGTCCTTTCATCCCGATTACGGCTTTCGTTCGTTCTCAGGTCACGGCGTGACCTTTGTTGCGTCATTTGGTCCTTCAGTTGCATTGCCGTGTACACGTGATCCAGTTCGATGTGCCTGTTTATTGAGTTGGCTGAAGAGTGCCAGGCCTCGAGAAATTCTCTGGCGTGTTTTGACCGGGCTTGGTCGATAATTCTCACTGATTCGAAATCAAATTGATGTCCTTCTTGATCTTCGTGGAGGGAAATCAACGATAGTGGGTCATGCCTCCTGACTGCCGATTGGTGTTCACGGATCCTTGTTGACAGTTTTCTCCCAGTTTGTCCGATATAGTGTTTTGAACAGTTCTTGCAGTTTATTTTGTAGATCACGCTGCTCTTGTCCTTCTCCATTGTTCCCTCCTTGGGTTTTGACAGAAGTCCCCTTAGATAGGCGATCGGTTTGTGGGCGACTTGAATTCCATACGCTCTGAGAAGTCTTCCTGTCATTTCCGAAACGTCCTTGATGTACGGCAGGGTCGTTCTTGTTCCCGATTCTCCGTCTGTTGTTTCCTTCTTTCTTTGCGCCAGAGTTCTTTTGATGAAGTTGCGGGGGTAGTTATTGCGAGCGAACACGTTGAGGAGGTATCTTTCTTCTCTCTTCTTGAGTATGTCGGTGCTGCAGTGCGTTTGGATTCTCCCGAACAGGGTTTTAACGCAGCATCGTTTGTGGCTGTGTGGGTGATTACTTTTGAAGTTTAGAATTTGATCGGTATGTGTTGTCTTGCGGTAGACCGTTGTCTCCAGTTTTCCTGATGGCGTTCTGATGATCAAGATGTCCAAAAACGCCAGTTTTTCATCCTTCTCGGTCTCCATTGTGAACTTGATGCCGTTGAATGTGTTATTGATAATGTTGTACGTTCGTTCCAGTTCCGACTTCTTCAAGATGACGAATGTGTCATCAACGTATCGAAGCCAAAGTTTTGGCATGATTCCTGGTAGTACCTTCTTCTCCAGCTTCTGCATTACGGCTTCGGCTATGAATCCAGAAATTGGCGATCCCATTGGTGTTCCTTTCAGCTGTTCGTAGATTTCACCCTGGAATTTGAAGTACGTCTGCATGCATAGTTCCATCAGTTCGTAAATGGCAGCTGGTTCCGTTGGTGGATTTGGTGGGTGCTCAGTCATCAGTTCCCGCAACGTAGATAGATATATAGATAGATAGAGAGATAGAGAAATAGATAGATAGATAGATAAGTAGATAGATAGATAGATAGATAGATAGATAGATAGATAGATGGATAGATATATAGATATATAGATAGATAGATAGATGGATAGATAGATAGACGGATAGATAGATAGATAGATGGTTTGATAGATAGATAGATAGATAGATAGATAGAAAAATAGATAGATAGATTGATAGATAGACAGGTGGATAGATAGATTGGTAGATAGATAGATAGATAGATAGATAGATAGATAGATAGATTGATGGATAGATATATAGATAGATAGATATATAGATGGATAGATAGGTAGACGGATAGATAGATAGATAGATAGATAGATAGATGATAAATACATAGGTAGATAGATAGATAGATAGATAGATAGATAGATAAATAGATAGATAGATAGAGAGATAGATAGATAGATAGAGAGATAGACAGATAGTTATATAGATAGATAAGTAGATAAATTGTTAGAAAGATAGATAGATAGATAGAGAGATAGATAGATAGATAGATAGATAGATAGATAGATAGAGAGAAAGGGAAATGAATAGAGAGATAGATAGATGGAAAGATAGATTGATAGATAGATAGAGAGATAGATAGAAAGATAGATAGATAGATACATAGATGGATAGATAGATACACAGATAGATAGATAGATAGATAGATAAAAAGATAGATAGATAGATAGATAGATAGATAGAT